ATAGGACATGAACTGTAAGGTTTTGCTTAGACAGGCTTATAACATTTGCATTAAGTGAGCAACGATTAAGAGAAGCTATTTTGTAAGATGAAAACCTGCTACTTTAAAACAAGTACTGTAAAAGGTGTTTGAAGACAATGTGATTTTTTTTTTCGCATGGGTTCCAGAATTTGTACAAAGCTGATAATTTAATCCATTATTTATTTAAATTGATGTAAAAAAGGATTATTTTCATTTTTTTAGTATTGAACAAGTTAGAAGATTAACCAATGGTTACTTGATTTTTTTTTTTTTTTAGTTAATAAGCAAGTTAGAAGATTAACCGATAGTTACTTAATTTCTATTTTTTTTAAATTTAAAATATTAAAACAAATTTTTTATTTATTTTTTTTTTAATTTAAGATGTAAAAATGAATTATAAAGTAGAAAGCAGGTTTTTCCTAATGCTAACAAATTAGAAACGATACACTATTTTAGATTTCTTAGGAAAAATTAAAGATCTATAATTGAATAAAACAAAGCTTAAACGGTACGCTAAATACCAATGTTTCATCATGCCTTTAAGTCACTGCACTGTTGAAAATTCCTCCACGAAACCATCCCTTCCTTGGCAGATAGCTTTTTCATTTTGCTTTAAATAAAATTAAGCAAACAATTATGTCTAATGTTACTGTATTGTCTAAATTTTGTTTTGCTATTTACTTTTATTTATTAGGTTTCAAATCAATTTTCCTGACATCTGAAATGCAAAAATATCCTTTCTGTTAGGATTCTACTTCATTTTTTTAACAGCACAAAAGTGACCTAATTAGGGCACTTTCTTACTGGGAGGACGAAAACAACTTTTTATTACAACTTAACAAAAGTTTTTTATACAACCTTACAATTTTATAGGAATTGTCTGTGCCGTGTTATAAGGAATCTGTAAAATATCACGTAGTACATCAAGTAAAATAACTCGAACTAGAAGGATTTTATAGGTGTTTCAGAATAAAGTATATTTATTCTTCTCTACAATGCGAGTTTAAAATATACCGGACACTATTACATTGGAGTTTAAATCCACCCAACAGGCATCGAGATTTCCTGTACATTTATTCTGTCACGAAATACGACAGGAAAAAAAATCAAAATAAAATACACCTCACTATTTGATGGAGAGTTGGTGTGCTCCTCGGGTCATGGTAGACATCACCTCTTGACCGATATTTCATTTATTCGATCTTTCTCTGCCGAGAAACATGGAATTCCCATTGCTTTTGATTTTGGTTTACTTGCTGGTTTTCAATCATAGAAAAAGACGAGAACTTTAGTTTTTTTCACAAAAGCTTTGGAAATGAACATTTGGCAGTTTTCTTAATAGTAAAGGAATTGCAAATTCTTGTTCTCTTCCATACTTGTGGTAGTCTTCTTTTTGTTTTGATGAATGTAAAAAAAGAAAAGAGAGACCTTTATCTGAATCATCAAATTTACCAGGAAATTTCTAAAGAAGAGTTTTCAAAAAAAGAGTACGAAGTAACATCATTTACTCTACAAATAATCGCGTGAACTCTTTTTTTATATTATTATTTGCTAACTACTGTCCTAAAAGAAGTAATCACACTTACATAATACTAGGAATACATAAACGTAAACTAATGTTAATATTAAAGATTACTAATATTTAGGGGAGATCTTAAAAATTTAGCAAAGTCTATACTGAAATCGACATTAATTTTCGAAAAATGCTTTTTATTTTAAGATAGGTTTCGCAGACCTGTCTTCTGTGAAAAAGCAAATTTCTCCTGCATTATATGATCGGTTTCTATCTAGATGGTTTCTTCTCACTTTTTTCTGTAAGTTGTGTGGAAAGAAATCTTTAAGAATCTGCATGTATTGATGTTTTAGAATTATAGATAAATAAAAGGATTTTCTGTGTACAGTTATTCCTAACTGAGTTGAAAATTTAAAAAATCTATATCAGTATAATTATTAGCAAATGCCAAACTTTATCGTAAGGAAACATAAGCAGATTTCAAGGTTTTGTACCGATTTCTGTTTGCGACGGACATTTGTGTGATAAACGTTTCTTCTCACAAGTTTGCCAATGCATCCGATCGACATGAGTCCCAATATCTCTTGTACAGTCGTAGAATTCTTGTAGAATGGAGAACTGAGGCTGAAAGATGCTTGAAAAACCCCCAGAGAATGAGCCACATGAAATTAAATACGAAGACCGGCGTGGCCTTCTCGTTAACGTAAAAATTTCCACTTCTTTTGCGCTCTCTCCACCTCAATGACAAATTTTAATTGCTATCACTTTCTCAAAAGGTCTTTGGCGAAATTTTGACTGAAACAATCTCGCAAATGATTTCGGTAATGTTTTATATAATAGTGAGAAGGGCAACTGTCTTGAAAAAAAGGTAGTCATCACCATTTTCATTTGAGGGGCATCAGGCAGTTTTGCAGTGCGACCGATCTCAATGACTCATAAATGTCTGGAGTCCCAACAAAGATAGACATATTAAGCACTAATAAAATTTGTAGAACGAAAGTTAGTAAGTTTACCTTTAAGTCTGTATAATAAGATTTCGAATCGATTGCTCAATTTATTTGTTGTTGTTAAGTTATAAAATAGTTTTGGAGCATATGAATAATTTTGTGTTTTAAGCTTTATAATCAGCAGCTGACGATTCACAGAAGGTATATTCATACTGTGACTCAATTAGAGGAAATGATTAGAAGAAATGACTTTGTTTCTTCCATTGTTTTGAAGCATATTATTTTATTTTCGTATCACAGCGAGTTTAAATTTACTGTATTAAATTAGATAATCGTGAAAGGACTGTACTATTCCCGTTATTGTGAATTCCATTGTTTATGGTGAGATATAATGCATTTGGAAGAGATTCGTAATTTACTTGTTTCGAATGTCAGGAAAAAGCCGGAGGTCTCGAAATGTTGTAAAGTAGAATATTATTGAAATAATCTGACATATCTCTGAGTAAATATTTGAGAACAAAGCTTTAAATAAACTATATACGTAGTTGCGCGAATTATGCGTGAGCTTGATTAGGGAGATTTGGGGTAATGACCTTGATTCTTTTTCTCATTGGGATCAAATTCGGATTCTAAATAAATTTTTAGAGACAAACGATTGATCTTACTTCTTCAGCAAGTAATGTTTTACATCTTTTTGTAATATGCACATGAAATTATCCACAATTAATGTCTGAATTAATTCATTTGCTAGTAAGGGAATATTTATCTGAAACCAGTGATTCTCTCCTCTCTTTAACACTTTAAAGATAATTAGGACTAATAAGCCATACGTAATTCGTAGAGTTCGCAGAGACCACATATACAGCTTAATTATCACATCATTTTGAGTCTCATTTGGGTAGCTGTTTTTGAGTTGTTTATGCAATCAAACATTTTTACAAAACTTTAATAATTTTACATTCTAATTCAAAGTGATGATTTTAATTTTTTATTTTTTTGGAAATTTTTTTAGGAAATTTATTATCTGTGAATAATGTCAGTTGGAAAAATATGTGTTAGGTTTCTTCTTTTGCGACAAGACCTTGTTTAAAATACGTCTTCATACGTCTTTTTTAATGGTTAATTATAAATACTAGTTTTATGCATGCAAATTCAAGTACTTTTGTTTTCGCTAATGAGCATACCGATTATTACTTTGACATTTTCAAGCCTTTGGCGCAATGTTGGCGCGTTTTGAGGTTCTGCTCGCGTGTCAGTCGGGTAGATGTAAACCCATCAATTTTTGTTCGAACGACCGCTATCATTAACCGATTCAACAGAGCATAAGTCCGTCAAAAATTTTTGATGCATCATTCTGTCTTAATTAGCATGCAGAGGAAGGATCTTTTGAAAATGTTATTCTAATAAAAGGAATCGATCGCGATCTAAAGAGGGAAGGATCAGTTGAGGGTGGAACTTTGATTAAAGAAAGCTGGATCCGTCGGGTATTTTAAAATTGACACTTGAGTTATGTCGCTGCCTTAGTGCGCGACTTTGTTAGGCAGACTTTGTTCAATGAAGTGTGAAAAATGGATTACTGGAAAAAAGAAATTTATAAAGTTTGCGATAGTTTCTGAGGAAATGGTTTATGAACATAAACAAAACAGTACTTTGAAAAATTCTATGAGATAATTCCTGTGAATGTGTTTTAATTTTCATTCTATTTTAAGATGTAAATAAAATATAAATAAAGTATAGTTGATTTTAAGAACAGTTGCAGCGCGTTTTATGTCTTAAAAGTGTCATGTGCAAATAAAATAGGGCTTGTTCTACGCCTTTTTATAAAATTGCTACTACGAGGTTTAGATATCAATATTTTGGGGAAATTATTGTGAAAAATTTTAAGTTTTTACTTTAAGATTTTAAGCAAAGATGCAACGAACACCATAAATAATTTAAGCTACAATAAACACCACAAATAAAGGAAGATACAATTGTACAATGAATTATTGAACACATTAATCTCTTTCTGGTGGCCTGGACAGATATGTTCCTCGTATTTAACTGTATTACATAAGGCTCCAGGAATTTTAGCTCGCAATGGAGATTTAAAATTTACTGCTGAATATAGAGTAGGAAGTTGCTGATCGTGTCGCCTTGTTTTGCATTTTCCTTTTGCCTGAATATTAAATAAATGGCCCCATTCAATCAATATAATGATAAAAAGTAATCTCTATCTCCAATCAAAATATAATCTCCATCCAATCAAAATCAAATAATCTAATCTCCAATCAAAAATAATCTCTATAGCCCATGGGAAAAGAATGAGGAAACAGTTGTCAAAACACTTAATAATCGTGAGAAAAATGTACAGTAAAGTACTCTTAGTTATCGAAACGTAAGAAAATGTTAATCTAACATTTAAAAGCAAAAATTCGAATAGTCAGAAAATAATAAGGTATAATTTGCAGTATAAATTATTTTATCTTTTTAAGTATATTTAAATATGCTGAATGTAAAGAATTAATATTTATTTTTAGAACCGAGGTGAGGGACTTGACATGAACGTTCAAGACGCATGGGCTCAAGGTGTGACTGGAAAAGGCGTTGTTGTGACTATTTTAGATGACGGACTGGAGAAAGATCATCCAGATCTTATCAAAAACTACGTAAGCTTACTTCTATTTCTTCTTCGTCTTAATTTTATATATAAAATTAAAGAAAAATTAAGTTATGTGATTTAAATCGCTTTTGATGAGCATGTTTACCTTTTTTCGGATAACGAGCTGCATTTATAAAAATGTATATACTTTTTTTACAAACCTTTATTACATACTTTTATTACATCCAAAAAGACTTCAGTGTCATAATATTAAATGTCGCAGAACTTGAAGTTTTAAGTTTCCTGTGATGTACATACAGGGTGCTCGATAAATATGAACACTTTTAAGGAAATTATAAATAAATCAACAAGCTGACATATTAGAGTACGTTTAACATCTACTAAATATTAATCCCAGAGGTAAATACTTTTAGGCACAAAATACATTATCTTTGAAATTTTAATCGATAGATGGCGCTGTACCATTAGTATCGCGGAAATGTGCACATTTAAATTCGTTAATGAACATGCTAAATTTAAATCATTTGAGAGATGAGGTGAACCTGCGAGCTCATGATGAACAGTTGCGTTATTAATAAATTGTGTATTCTGTCAAACTTAAATGAATAAATGCACTTTTTAAAAATATTTTTGTTCCTTTAGTGCGATACTAACAACACACTCTGTCCCTAAAATCTGTTGTTATGCCTTCCCCACAGAAAAAAAAAATCGGCGTTTTTTAAGTTTAGTGTGCAAAGATTTCTGATAACCCATATTGTTTATTTCATAAATCTCCCTCAAAAGTTTCCAAATTTATGGGGCACTCTGTATATCTGAAACCCACGTCTGGAAATTCTTTCATTCCATGTACTTTGTTTAACCGAATTGCAGTACTAATGCGACCTTTCTTTAGCACTTAGTAAAATTAACATTGGTATTAACTACTAAATGTGTATCTCAGTTTCATTTTCCTTCAAAGAGCGAAGCTGCTTTGAGAAAAACAGTACCCGTGTTGAAATGAATTGCTTTCGGTAGAGAAGTATTTATGGGCTTTATTGATCTGGTGAAAAAGGCTGTAAATAAATTAAAAGCTAAAATAAGGAGGCAATTTGTCTGACCGAAAAAAAATACTGTTCAAAACCTTTTTTTTTTTTTTTTTACCAGGATGAACAATGTCTTTTTATCATTAATTTAATTACCCATTTCATCAACATAATTACATTTCAATTTATGATGCATTAATGTAATTTAATTTATTATTCATTAAATTATATTTAGTTTGAAGAATAACAAATAAAAATAAATTAAAATATTAATAAATTTTGTAATATTTTTTAAAATTTGATTTTAATCATTATGTAGTTACTGATTTATTTATTTCTCTTTGCCGTTTCCGATGGTCTTCCATAAAGCTTCGATATTTTTAATGTTTAAAATTAAGCCTTGATAAGAGACTTACCAGACCAAAGCAAGTGTTTTTGAAAAGAGATTGGTTTTGATTTCAAAAATACTATATTCGTTACCAGATCGTGTCTCGAAATTTGTTTATTTTGGCCAACAGATACACTACTTAGCATTATGATACTGTTATCTGTTAACAGAAGTGGCACGGTTGTTATCTAAAATTAATTAATATTCTACGGACATATTTAACCCTGTTTTATACTCAAAGATGGGAATCAAATCCATTGTTTAAATCTCACCTGAGAGAGATCTGAGTCATTCTTTCGCATCCTTGCAATATAAATTTCGTATAGAACATGCGTAGAATATATATTTATGCATATTTTACTCAACTCATAGGTCATGATGTAATTAATGAAGTCTTGGATGAATATAAGAATGAATAAACTCACTGTTACAGATATTACATTGACTAGCACCTTTTTTTCGCGGAGACGAAACATACTTATCTTCGATTGTCAAACTAGAGCTTCAGACAGCTGTTGTGCTTAGAAAAGGTCTTGCATATAGAATGGAATATAAGTTTCTCATTTTAAGGATTCATTTCTAAAATTAGTATTATTTATCTCATTACATGATAATTTCAGCAATTTTTCCTCCTCATTTAAATGGGCTTTGTATGTATATATTTAATCACACTCATTATACAACACAACATTTTCACGGTCTATCTGTTTTTACTTCCTTATACGAAGTAAAGGAAGTATTGTAATTGCGAAAAATTTCGGATATCATATTTCAACTGCTCTCGAAATCATTTGAATGATGTTTTTGCGTGACATCAGTATGTACCGACAGAGTAAAGGATTGCTTTTGCCAAAAAAAAAAATTTAAAATGAATTCAGAAGAGATTTTTGCTTGATGTTTCTATGTACGTATGGTAAATGGTACGCGTGTATCTCGCTCAAGAACTCAAGAATGAGTTGCCGTAGATCGATTGCCATAACATGCAGTTGTGCATCTCCCTTTTCCGTTGCAATCGGTTGCACCAGTCATATGTAAATGTATTCCCACTCTGTTACGTGGCGTGGCTCATTGAGCTTAGTTTTTTATTCTTATATGAAGGTAAATTGTACATTTTTTGCTTTAAAAATGATTATATGGCTTTTATGTTCCGGTTAAGGTTTTAATGCCTTTAATCTGCAGGCAGTAGTTGTGAAATTGTCAGTAACTTAAAAGTTTAACTTGCGAGTTGAGCCTAACGAGACGCCATTTGTTTACATCTGAAACTCAGTAGAATAATGAATTAAATCAGTTTCTACACCTTCAATGTCTTTTTGCCCAATGAGACCAATAGTAAACTTTCAGGTTTCTGCCCGAAAAAATCTGCCTTCTTGCCCTCTGGCCGAATTGCTTTATTTTTTGCGTAGAAACTCTAATTTTAATTGTAAAAGTTATTTTTAACTGTATTTGGTGCTTTATGTATTTTACAATTTTTAATACAGATGTTCTGTATTTTTGCGTATTTTTGCTTTGCCGCGAAGTTAGAACTGAATTAATTAAATGAGAAATGTAACTCTAATGAAATTCGAGGAAATAAATTTGAATGAAATGCAGCAAAAAATGTGTATAGTTTATTAGAGTCATGGTAGTGTTCACTTGAGCTTTTTTTATATTTGACTTTTTTTCGAAAAACCGCGTTTAAAAAATGGTGCTTCTTTCGAAATAGTACTGCTGGCTTCATTTCCATAAATGGTGATTTTATTTATGACTATTCGCAACATAATTCCTCAAAATAAGCTAAAAAGTATTAAGAAAACAATTTCACCATCACTGGTGGGAGGCTTCTGTAAAAGTAAAATTTAATTTTTTATAAAATCTCGCAGAGTAAAAATTACCAATTGTAAAAAAAAAATATTCATTTTGCTTTAACGACTAAAAATAGCTAGTTCTTCAGAAGCAAAATTCGTATACGAATTAAATAAATTAAGTCATTTTTTTCGTCTTATTAAAGATTGATACAAGATTTTAAAAATAAATTCTGGAAACACCCGCTTATCTGCTCAAAATGCTTATCTGCCCGCTTATCGGTTCAAAATGTTTATGAAACTGCTTTTAGTGCAGTTAGGTTCCAAATGTATTTGGTAATCTTTGAAGTAGCATCCATCGAAACATACACATGTGCTCCTAACGTTTTTGGAAACATTTATAGAATCATTCTTATGGTATTTGTTATAGCTTTTGATAACTCGAATTGTATAAAAACATAGATCCCATAAAATCATCTTCATAAGAACAAGCAGCAAAATAATCCACCCTTCCGCAAAAAAGGCTCTCTGTAAGTATTATTTGGCTGATTGCAATAGAGCTTCCAAACCTGATTTTTAACTCAAGTTTTTTGAAGATCAATTACTTTTCTATTATCTCATGATTTATTTTATTCTATTTTTGTCTTTCAGTGCATAATTCTTAAATTTGTTTCATTATGATGATTAATAGAGGTGTAGCGAAGCGGTATCTTAACTTTAAATTAATAAACCTAGAAGACTCCTGCGAGGGACTGTAAAATTAACCTGATTCGGCGGTCTGAACTTTCGAACACGACACGCAAAGTAAAAGACAGGGTACATTAGCGGTTTTTAAGAATGCAAGAAAAAAAGGCGAATGGGCATACAATTGCGCATTACGAAATAAATCAACACAGCAGAGAGAGAAACACGGCGTTGAACAGTTTCAAAATAAATAGTTTTACAAAATGAAAATTATCATAACATATTAAATTATGCAAAATGTATCATAAAATATCACAAGAAAAATAATATGAAATTATGAAATGAAACTAAATTACTCTCAAAACAGATGCACTTGATAAATATTGATAAATATTGATACAATTCAGGAACTTAATTATATTTAAAGCAAATTACAAAGTTGTAATGCTTTAGGAAAAAAAAGAAAAACTTATGCACTGATAGGCAAAACACTAAGTTTGGGAACAGGCCTTTCGAAAACTCCATTAGCAGTTTTGAGCTTCACGATAAACACAATATTATCTGAGCTAGGAAAAAGTTCCAGCACTTCCCAATTCATCGTTTCTAGCGGGGGAAATGTTTCCTTTATGATAACTAAACTTAACCTTAATTCGTTGCACTTTCAACCATTTTGAACGTCGTTGCAAATTAGAAAGATCATTGGACAATCTTTGCCAAAGCTTTGAAACATTTTCTCAACAAGCTTCCAACGTTGCAACATAGGAATTTTTTGGTCGTGTAAACTTTCTTCAGGTAAGGCAGTTAGTTAGCGGGGTACCAATTAAAAATGG